CTGGCATCGCTACTAGGAGCAAGGACGCTACTAGGGGCTCCTGGCCTTACTACTAGGAGCAAGGACGCTACGAAGAACAAAGGGCATTGCTACTAGGATCATCAATGATAGCACAATCTCCAAGAGATGCTGAGCGCGTTGCAAAAGTACGCAAAACGGTGCTTCACGGTGCTTCAGTTTAAGCTCTCGACCTGTGGCCCAAATCCACAGGTGGCTATGTATTTTGCTCGTTGGACCTTAGATTGGGAGAGAATGGAGAAAGGTAAAGCAACTGCAAGGAAAAGGACTAGCGATGGCCTCCAACCTAGAAGAGATGGCCTCCAACCTAATAGCAATGGCCTACCCCTGAAGATGGCCTCCAACCTAAGGAAAAAGGATTGAAAAAGGTTCAAGAGAAAAGAGAAGGTCAGGCCCCTTAAAAGAGTCCTTACCCAGCCATTTCGCCTCATCATCACGCCGGATAATTCCATGACCAGAAGAATCATAGATTCGGAGTAAGACCTTGTCCTGAAAAACACACATACACCACAGCATCACACTCAATTGAAAATTGGACAGGCCCCATTGCCTTCTTTTGTGCAAACGGGCAAGGGCGCAACATCAGACAAGATTCGCGAAAACCAACTTGTTTGTTTAACCAACTTGTGCGTTGTCTGCTTCAGTCCTCTCCGCAAGCCACACGAAAAACCTTGCCCCAAGGACGCGAAGGGTCAACACTGTCATGATACCTATTAGATTGGAGGCCATTGCTAAGGGTCAGTACTCGACTTGGACGCTCTTTACTGAGGGGAGGGGTGGCGGGGTTGGAAGGAAAGCTGGAAAGTTGTCAGTGGCTGATCAGGCTGAAGGATACCTTTCAAAGTCCTTGCATGGGCTTGAGGCCAAAACACAAAAATGCAAAGAAGAAACTAAAGGCAATGGTCTCCAACCTAATAGCTTAAGTAGCTCGTAGCGATGGCCTTTAGCATAGTAGCGACGGCCTCCACCCTAGTAGCGATGAAAGAAATAAACGTCTGAAGAACTAGACAATGGAAATGCATCTTTTCTCAGAATGATAACCGAGACTGGGGCTGAGTTCGAACATGCGATTGTAATCTGAGAGATGTCCACGGGCCTCGACCTCCAAAGAAGACGCATGAAGAGTGTTCAAATGAATGTTATCTTTCAAAGTGTTGGAGGCCTTTGCTATTAGGTTGGAGGCCATCGCCCGTATGTTGGAGTTGTTCCTTTCATTGCTTTCTTGTTCTATTTATTCTAATTCTATTTAGTGAACATTGTTCCTAGTAGTACGGCCAGGAGCCCCGTTCGTAGCGTCCGAACGTTCCGTTCGTAGCGATGCCCAAGTAGTTACGTTCGTAGCATCCTTGCTCCTACTAGTAAGGCCAGGAGCCCCTAGTAGCTTCTTGTTACTACTAGTAAGGCACCTGTAACTAGTAGCGTGGCACTTGTTACGTTCGTAGCGATGTGCACGTGCACAAGTCGTGGTCTGAACTTCGCCTCCACGAGGGTCTTACCTGAAAGACCTGGGAGCGCGGTTACAATGACACTGCAGCACAGCGTTTAGAAAGCAGAAATGGTTGAATCGAAAACTCATAAGCAATAGATGATAAAAGAAATGTCGAAAGCTCCAAAAAGGAATCGAAAAGAAGTTGTTTTAAGATGGACAAATAATGAAGTCTGAGCATGTAGCATGCTTGAGGAAGGAAGCAGGTCTCAAGACAGGCATTGATCTGAAGACACCTAGAGCCTTTGCTCTTGTGCTTTTCTGCGTTTTCCTATGGGAACTATCTCCCGCTTACTTCATGCTCTTTCATCCAACCAAAATGTCATTGAGACATGCAAAGGAAGAAAAAACAGGAAGTGCAATCTGTGACTTTCTCGGAACACAAGTGTCGCTATGTGAGCCAAACTGCTGAAACGTGAACAAGCAGAAATATAAATAGAAATGACACAATAATGAGACACAGAAATTAAATCAATAGTTAAGTCTACAAAACTTAAATGAAATGAAACACATTTTGGACAGAATATGCCTCAAGCACATCTGTTGTCTGCCCTTGCTACCTGAGGCGGACTAGTCTCTAAAGAAAAAGAAAAAGAGAAAACGAAAAGGAGGCCCCTTTATGAGGCCCAAAGGAATACTCCTAGCAAGTGAGTGAGTGCGTGATGTGAGAAATGAGTGAGTGGGGCGGGCAAACGGGCGGACATGCGGACGCGGCAGACGCGACGCCGATAAAAGTGATGGAATAAAAGAATTGTCTGGAAGAATCTATGACTTCCAAGAAAGAAAGACATGGTCTTTCAAGTGCCACTTTTTGACTCTCTGCTGCTACGCTTGCCAGGTGATCTTTGTGGACACCGGTGTAGGCCAAACAGGCCCTTTGCTTGAAACAGTTCTACGAACTAAAGCAGCTGAGAATGAGACATATCTGACAATTCATTCCAGAACCAAAGATTAATCTGACTTGAGGAGGACATCGAACACCAGGGGAAGATGATCAGATCCGACCGCTTGTGCAACAAAGGCTGCGCTGAAAGTGCCTTGCACATGCGACAAGCAAACCACATCTTTGAGTTGTTTGATCGAAGCAACTTGAGCCCCGTTCGTAGCATCCTTGCTCCTAGTAGTAAGGCCACGAGCCCCTAGTAGCGTCCTTGCTCCTAGTAGCGACGCCCTTTGCTCCTAGGCGTCCTCTACAAGGTGTTTGGGCCTCTTTAATAAGGCCTCCTTCACTTACAAGTCACGACAAGTCTGTCTGGATTACTTGCGTTCTATGCGCCTATGTGCTGAAAGTCATCCGAAGCATAGATGTAATCTATTCGAGCAGGTGGGTCTGCCCGAAGAGTCCACCTTGACGTTTGCTGAGTCCTGGGGCTATGCATGTGCTACAGCGGTCTTGCCATGTGCTCAAAGAGAAGCAAAATGACAAAAAAGGGGCTATGCATGTGTTTCCATTTTCCATCGTGTTTTGCTCTGCCCCGTAAGGAATCGACTGCGGTAGCCTGCCGAGGTCTCGGTAGCCTGCCGCTTCCAAAGCCGCCAAGGCAGCAGAGTCTTCTGGCGGTGACCAGCGGTTCTCTGAATTCCGCGTCTCCAATGCAGCCCACTCCTAGCTGTCAAGTACACAAATCCAACAAGTGTTGCGCAGGATTGGCAAGTTTTACAAGAACGGTTTTCAGACTGTAAGAGCCTGAAAGTGGCTCTAAAATATGTTGTATCAAAAGCAACAGTTGATCTTCAAGCCTGTCCTTTGCCGAGTAGTCCGAACGCTTCATGGCCTAAGGGATCTCAAGGAAAGTCTCCGTTGACCCGAGGACCAACAACGTGGCACCCAAAGGGCTAGCGCAATCGTTTCCCAGGAATGACCTTTGCAACGCTAGAGCGTTGGCGCTTGGGAGGTGCCGAAAGATGTATCGAGAGGGGGATGGAATGCGTTTCTACATAGTGTCCAAGTCTTAAGAGGGAAAGTAGCCGTTCACTATAATATGGTCAAACCGTGGTGCAGCCATAGCCCTTGGAAGGTTTCAGCGACCACATACCAGATTGTTAAAAGCGCTCAAAGCTGCCGCATTGAGTCGGTGCAAAAGGAAAATCGATTTTCTGATCGGCAAATGGCATTGAGATCGCCGACAAGTAGATGCGGAAGGCCTTTGCTAAGCCGTGCCCGGTGGAAGAGGATGGATTCAGTTTGTCGCAGCCTTTCTGCCTGCACACAGGTTCTGTTGCACTCTTGCTGTCATCTTGATTTCATTCTACCTCCAAGTCTCAAGCCACTATTAGGTTGGAGGCCATCGCTCTATGGTTTGAGGCCATTGCTTGGTGATTCCTCTTCTATCTGGTATACGTGTACTTTTCCATTGCCAGTGTCTCGGTTCACCCGGCCTCAGAGATGTGATCCAGGTGGGTAGCCAACACAGCAAAGCGTTGAGCTTCACCTCGCTTCCATTACGGTCCATCCTGCCTGTGTGTGCCTTTGTGTGCCTTTCCTCTTCGAAAGAAAAGCTTATTGTAGAGACTTCAATTCTCTGACTGTTCAACTTTTGGATTTGAACTGAAAGTTGTTCCAACATGGACTCCCGATTGTTTTCTTTTCTTAGGCATGGACTCTCAGACTTGTCCTTCTGTTGTGGTCGTAAGGCCACGCATACCTGGACACATCCGATCCTATTCTCATAACATTGTGATGTTGATGTTCGTTTGTTATCCTACCACCGCCGCTGCCGGAGGGGCCTCCTCACTCACCACTCATAACTAACACTCAAATCGCGCACATTTACATCACTAACACTAAGTCGGCACAGTTACAAATCAGTTGCACTGAGATCATCAATCTTCATGTCTCCAACACCACAGCATCAACATCCGCATTTCCAAGATTTGTATCAGCAAGCCCGCAATAGCACGTCTAAGTCTAAGTCTAAGTCTGTGGTTGCGCTATGCAACTTCGCGTTTTCATGCAACTGTCTTCTTACCTAAGTTGATGTGCACGCCACTGTGCATGTTTCTGTGTGGCACAAAGGTTTGCAACACACATGTCGTTGGATGTCGTTGGCAACGCGTCGAATGGAACCTTTACAAAAAGTAAAATACAGCTACACCAGCAGCAAGTTGAAAGATTACTGACACATATACTGACACAAGTTTTGTGAAACACTCTTTCCGTACGTCTGTTGGTGAACGGGATCGTTTTTGCAACGGACTCTTGCTCACTGTATTGTCTTTCACCATCATTGTACGCTGCCTGAGCAACCAAGGAATGACTTTACTACACCGCTCACTAGCGCGACCTCACGCGCCGACCGCGCGACCTCGAAATGAGAAGACCGCTGCAGGGTTACCCTTCACACAGATAGATGGCGCCTTGAATTAAAGGGGTTCCTAGTAGCGCCTTTGCTCCTAGTAGCGTCTTTGCTCCGAGTAGTAAGGCCAGGAGCCCCTAGTGGCGTTCTTGCTCCTAGTAGCGATGCCCTTTGTTCCTAGCAGCGATGGTCTCTTGGTTTGAAGGGTTGCATTGTTCTGTGCGGAAAAGAAGCCGCGTCGGCAACACGCAGTGTATGCCAAAGTCCACACTGTTGACGCCTGTAGTACTGCTCTTGCTTCTGTCAAGAAACGTTCAATATCAGCTCGCTGGTACGGTACAATCGTATGAATCGCTCGTCGCTCGTTGTCCCGTCTACCCCTCACTTGCAGAGCAACTTGAAGCTGCCTCCGGGCTGCAAAGCTCACAAGTTAGTAAGAAACATCCTGGGACGCTTATGTGGATCTAAGAAGCAAGTGAGGTATTGTTTAATTCCCAATTAAAAACTCCTGACACTCAGGTCGCACAGGAATGGCAACTTTGCTTGTCCGGTCTGTTCAGGGCTTGCCGAGCCAGAAGTCTGTGATCACCAGGGTGGGCGCCGGTGGGGCCAAGCCACATGGTTCACCACAAAGGGTTGCAAAATGAGAGTCAACGGCACACATGAATGAAGTTAGGAAGCGCCTGTTGCTACAGTGCTTCAATCCCCAAAAAGAAATAGGAGCAAGGACGCTACTAGGAACAAGTGCATCGCTTCTAGTAACAAGTGCCTTACTAG